TGTGTGTGTGTACATATATATTCATTTTATCATTCATTTTATCTTAGAGAATCATTGCACAGATTATGGTACCAGAGAACAGGCTGCTGCTCTGAACAACCTGACTTGTTTTTCAGAGAAGGTGGGAGACTTTGGGAGTGCTTGAATGCTGTAAGCAGAGCTTAATGGGCTGTTTTAGTAAGAGCCTTGAAGAAAGTAGTGCAGAGAGTTGTGTAGTTCCAAAGGAAAACAAGTTCTTAAACAGAAAGTGGGATACTTTGGCAAAGAATTTGGCTGCCATCTGCTCGTGGCCTTAGAAGTTGGAGACCCTGTCTCAAAAAGACCAAAAAAAAACTGACTTCTTTGGCAGAGGAAATTTCAAGACAGCCTAACACTGAACTGTGGTGGGTTATTAATGGTTATATTTTACAGATCTAGAATTGTAAAAAGAGCAAGTATGGTGGAAATAAATAGAAAATGTATAGTTTGGAGAGAAAGAAAGCACCAGGAAGCTTAATGTTGCAGCCAAGGCAAATGCTGGAAGAGAGGCTTTCATTGTTAAGGAGAGTAGAGCCATTAGGGAGAGTCCTCCTGCTCTATTGAACAATGGAAAGAGTACCCTCAGGGCAAGGCTCCACCCAGCTAAGCTTCCAACTTGTGAAAAGAGAAAGCCTAAGGGATTTTCTGCCTCTAAGATAACACATACAAAATCTGATGAAAATGTGCCCAAGGTGGCCAAAGTCTACCCCAAACTGGCATCAGAACTTATCAGTGTTGTCTGCATGGTACTAGCTTTAGGGGTATGAAAGATTCAAGAGTGAAGGGGTCATGATTCTGCCCCTGAGGTTTCAGAGAGCCCCTCAGGCCAGGAAGTGTATAGCAGAGGGCGTTCCTGTGCAAAAAGGTCCTTGACAGGCCAAGAGGCCTTGAGAGGTCATTGAGTGAAGATATAGAGGTGAAGCCTGGATTGCAGTGACTATCCCAAGATGTTATAGATACCAGAGCCAGGAGAAAATTGCCTAGAAGAGCTTTACACAGGGAGTGGTACCAGCCCAAGAGCCTGATGAATGTTGCAGTCAGCAAAGATGGAGAGGCTGAGAAATCTAAGCCTTTTGGAATTAAAGTTCCAGACAATGAACATGGAGCTACAGGGTTTTGTGTTTGTCCTGTGGATTCCAGTCTTAATTTGGTACTATATTTCCTTACTGTGTCCCTATTCCTCCCTTTTGGAATGGTAATCTATATTCTGTGCCATTGTATGTTGGAAGTCTGCAATTAGCTTTTTGATTTTGCAGGGGGGTATGATTAAGAGACTGTTTTGAGTCTCAGAAGAGACCTTGGAGTTTTGAATAGTGTTGAGACTGTTAAAGACTACAGGAACTTTTAAAATTGGGACTATTTATGTGTTTTGTATTACAATATGGCCATGCACCTATGGGGGCCAGGGAGTGGAATGTGGTGATTCAAATGAGAAGTGTCTCCCATAGGTGCAAGTGTTTGAATGCTTGGTCAGTTGGTGATACAGTTTAGGGGTTTAGGGAGGGTCACAGAATCTCTAGGGGGTATTGCCTTTCTGGAGGAAGCACACCACTGAGGACAGGCTCTGAGAGGTTATAACCTTGTCTCACTTCCAGTTTCACTCTCTCTGTTTCTTGTGCTTGAAGACTTGAGAAAGAGCTTTCTGTTCCAGCTGCCTGCTGTCACGCCTCCCATCCCATGATGGGCTCTTATCTGTCTGGAACTGTAAATCCAAATAAACTCCTCTATAAGTTGCCTTGGCAACAGTGTTTTATCATGGAAAGAAAAATAATTAATAAAAATAAAAACTGTTTTAGCTAGAATGGTTCAAAAACCAAGATAGGAAACCTCTAGATGTTTATGGACAGACATTAAGATAATACATTTTACCTTGATGATAATCTTAATATAAATGCATTGATTCCTCATTTTGGGTATATCATGAAATATTTTTTATTTTCAGGTATCACAGTTTCAGAGAGGAATGTTTTATCATGGTAAATAATATCCTGTTTGAGAGCCTGTGATTTTTCCATTCCAGAATTAATGGCATGAATAATAACTAATATTAGGTGGGAGAGCCTTGAGTTCTTGCTGCAGAGTGTTTCATGGTGACATACAAGTATCATGGCATCCTCAGTTGCTCAGTCATGAGAATCTATTGGTGCATGTATAGGGACTACAGTCAGAGATGGGTTAGTAGATGGGGAACACTCACATTCTCCTGGCTCCATGTGGAGAGTGTGGGTTCCAGTCTGAATGATGCTGCCCTTGGCCATGATCTTAAAATAAAAAGTATTTTCTCAGTTTATCTCAACATTTTGCAAGGTTTTCTTTGAGCTAATATACTTATTGTTTGAGACACATGTAGTAATGCCCAGCCAAGAACCCAAAGTATTAAAAAGAGACATGAACAAGAAATAGAAGATTGCATAATTTTAGCATCTCAGTCAGATTCTGTATATTTCTTAACTTAGAACTCACCAGGTAGTAAAAGACAAACTCTCTCAGCTCCCCCAGAATCTGCCCATTCAGAGTGAAATGTGCTTGGGCTGTATGAATTTGGCCACAAGGCAGGACACCGGGTTCAGTTTGAAGATGAATATAGCTCTTACTGAAGGAAAAAACGCGGTAAGCCTCGTGATAAGCTTCTACGTGTGTTTCTGTCATACAACGAAAATAGAAACAAGGACTCTGTTCCTTGTGGTAGACCTAGAAAACAAAACAGAAAGTATCTTGTTGTAGACTGATACTCCTTAGAATCTAAGAATTCTAAGTCTAGATACTTAGAATTACTCTGCTATGCTGAATAAGCTAACCTTCCCACCTCGTTTAATGATTGGAAATTTTGTACATCTTATTAAGAATAGAGGGAAAAATTCTTTCCTGTTCATTAAATGACTTAATGTTCAGAATCCTTAAATTTCAGAAACGAGGCAAAAATTCATGTTCACGAAGAGAGAAAGGTGACACATATAATTTTTTGAGGTAAAGGAACAATTTATTGATCATCTAGCATGTGTCAAAACATTTCAAAGATTGCAGTTTTAATGTATCTTAAATGTGTGAAACAACGGGTTACTCTGAGACATTTTCTTTTATTTATTATTTTTATTTTATGTGTGAGTGCATTGCCTGCATGTAGGTAGGCACAACCATGTCGTGCAATGTCCACAGAGGTCAGAAGAGGGCATCAGATCCCTTGGAACTGGAGTTATAGATAGCTGTTAGCCACCATGTGTGGGTGCTGGGAATCAAACCCAGATCTTCTGCAAAAGGAACTGGTGCTCTTAACCACTGAGGCATCTATCCAGCCCCTGTAGACATTATCTTTAAACACTGGTATTTTTCTCCCATTTTATATAGTCTATTTGTGAAACTTTCCACTCAGATTTTTTATTTGGTTTGCTGAGCTTTTTATTTCTCAGATTTCCATTTGGTCCCCCCTACCCAGAATTCCTGTCTGTTTCTGAATTTCTTGTGCAAATCCTATAATTTTTTTCTTTACTCCATTGACCTGATTTTGTGTCCCAGTTTAAGTCATTGATCATTTTAAAAATTAAATTTGTAAAATTATTTATCTAGCATTTCATGCACTTCGATAGCTTTGGACTCAGTTATCGAAGAGTAATGAGCTTGGGGAAAGTTATGTTTATTTGCTTTTTCATATTTATTTTATTTCTATGTTGCAATTTGTACATCTGCAGGGATGGATCTATAATATCTTTTGATATTATAATAAGGTTTTCTTAGCGAATAGCCTTCTTTTAAGGCTTTATCTCTAATAAACCTCAAAAACAAAAAGGAAATTATAATAACTTCATGAACATCAAAGTAAAGCAGATACATGAATATAGTAGAAAACGATTCTAAAATTCCACTATATCCCCAATTCCAGTAGAATAGAAAGGGGAAATATAATGTTAATTAAACTTAGAAGTTAAAAAAACAGAAGTAGGGGCTGAAGAGATGATTCAGAGGTTAAGAACACTGGCTGCTCTTGCAGAGGACCCAGGTTCAGTTCCCAGTGACCATATGGCATCTAACAACCATCTGTAACTCCAGTTCCAGAGGATCTGATGTCCTTTTCTGGCCTCCACAGGCATTGCATGAACTTGTTCACTCATACATGTGCACACAAAACACTCATACACATAAAATAAAATAAATAAATCAAAAAATTAAAAAACCCAAAATATTAATAAAGTAATAAAAAGGGAGTTTGAAGAAAAAAGGAAGAAGAAAAACCAGAGAGAAAGGAAAGAGGGCACTGGTATGAGAAAAAATATATAAAAAACAGGCAATGACAATAAAAATTGTAGATATGTAACATGAAAATGGAAAGAGGAAGACTGAGGACAGAGGAGTATGAGTGGGGGGCAGGGAGATGGAGAAAGACATAGAGGCAAGGATCAAGTATGAGAATGCATGCTGTCATGAAACCTGCTACTTTGTATACTAAGTAAAAACAAACAAAAGTATCATAGGGCAAAGAGGAAAAGGAGGAGGAGGGGAGGGGGAGGAGGAGGAGCAGGAGGAGGAGAGGAAGAGGAGGAAGAGGAGAAATAGTAACAATCCAAAGTAAAACTATGAAAGAAGAAAATAAAACATATTCTCTCTCTTTGGGAAGACTGTTCTTTTCTATGGCTTTGATTCTAGAATTCTCCAGGAG